TATATATATATATATATATATATATATAGATATATATATAACTTTATTCTTACTTAGAGATGAATAATTGGAAACAAAATTAAATTGACACTTGTCAAAAAATTTCTGCAGGTGAAGGTTGTCATGGAAGTAGCTAATGACCATTGCACACTTAGGCATTTTTAAAAACCAAAATGTAGATTTATATCCCTTCCTCTTCTGTTCCTAGAGACATATGCTATTACGTATACCACTTCAGTTGGTAAGACATGTTGATGAATGGCCAGCTTTAAATAGATTCAGCAGTGACAACCCAAGGGTGTAGTTTTGTGCGTTTGTTCTTAGAAGAAGATCTGTAATATTTTAAATCCTGGCATCTGGGGTACGTGGCAAAAATGAACAGACGCTGTTTTTACTTTCATTGATTATTACATGATGAGGTAGTTTTATCAGTTACTCCAAACCAAGCAAACTCCTTTTCAAGTCAGTAGAAATATTCTGTTCACTTGAGTAAGAGAAAGAGTTGGATTCAGAGTCTTATGTGATCTGGTCGCACCATTTTAGGTTATTTCTGGTGAATTGTTTTGTGGATGGTTTGATGTGTGGGGATCTTGCCATAACTACATTATCCTGGCAAAGCTGGGATAAAAGATTTGTGATGGTTTATATACGTAAATAGGTAAATCAATGACTAAATTAAGCGGAAGCTGCTTTAATGGCACGAGAGAGATGACTAAGCAAAGGTAAAACTTATTTTTTACAGAATGCTTTTTTCTTTTTAGGTATCGGAAAGTATGCAGTATCCCTTCAAACCTTCCATGAGAGTAGAAGTTGTTGACAAAACGCATCTTTGTCGAACGCGGGTAGCAATTGTAGACAGTGTAATTGGAGGACGATTACGACTGGTGTATGAAGAAAGTGAAGACAAAACTGATGATTTCTGGTGCCATATGTACAGCCCACTCATTCATCATATTGGTTGGTCCCGAAGTATAGGGCATCGATTCAAAAGATCTGGTAAGTGTGCTCTGTTTCGAACATTATTGCTTGCATATAGAGGCTTACTTGAGGGATATTGTTCATTTTATTATTTAGCGGAAAGAACCATCCTAGCTGAAGTGATTTCTAACTCTCAATTAATGATCCTCAAAAACTGCTTTTAGTGTTTCATTCCATCTTGCAAAAGCTGGAGTAAGTTTTATTCAAGAAGCAACTGCAAGTCATTTTCTAGGAGTTTATATAAATAAACTGCAGGAAATATATTGCTTCTGTGCACAAAGTTTAGTGTTAGCCCTAGTTTTTCCTGCTGGCATCCTGAAAATGCACACAGTACTGTCCCTCTAGCTGCCGCCTCCTCACTGTTCATCTAGTACAATAGGTTCAACACAAGCCTTCCATACGTTTAATTCAGGGTTTTTTTCTGTTTTTATCTCAGATTTTGGAAGTGCTTAATCTTTTTTTTGTTTATTTGTTTGTTTCTTGCTTTTATTGCAGCATGTAGCTGCATTGCAGAAGTTTTCAGGAGGAAGGCAGGAAAGCTAGAAGGTGACAGGGGACAGTGGGAGCTAAAATCAAACATTTCTGTTTTGAATGTTATATGGGCTTTTTAAAGGTATACAAGTCACCAATATGTTACTTGTCTATAAATTGAAGTAGAAATCAAATGTTTCCTCAGGCACCAGATTCAGACATTAAAGGATCAATATTTTTAATGGTTGCAGACCTTCCCTGAAACCAATTAAAAATAAGGGAGCTTTAAAAAAAAAAAAAGAAAAAGAAAAAAAAAAAAAA